TGCATGTTGGCATTACGATTATGAATGAATTTGTTTAGGCATCGGCTGTTAATAACTGCGCTAATGTTGTATTCAAATATTCAGATTTATTCGCAGAAAGATCCTGCTTGTTGTTGTCTGATCATCAGGTTGGCCTTATGCTGCAGAAGCTGGTCCACCGTTGTTAATCAGCAGCGTGAAAACAGACGGATGAGGAAGCATCTGCAGCCGTCTAAATATGTACACACATTCAGACTGTTTGATTTCATTTCACACTGACATACGAACTGTGTTTGACACACACAGCTGTCAGAGCTTTATGAGCTAGTCTCCATTAGCAGGGTACAACTCTTCTTTACGTTACTGCTGCTGTTGCATAAAGTGCTTTGATATTTATTTTTCAGTCAGGTCTATTTCTGGACGTTTGTCCCAGGAGTCACAGTGTTTGTATTCACACTGAACTCATTAGTAAGTCGGATTCAGAAAGGCAGAAAATGGGTTATTCCCAGTAGGTGACTAGATATTTACAGCACTGCTTAGGAAATGAATAGTGTAAGAATCAACAGGCGTATTTCAAATGTGTGAAGTTTATTTGTATAAAAACCGACTATTGCGCCGAACACAAATGATAAAAAGGATGTTATGTAGCATCCTATGTAACAAGATATGTAACATCCTTTTTAGAAGAGCTGACTTTTTGTAACAGAAAACTCAGCTACAGGAACTTATTAAAGCACAGTGATGTATTTAAAAACGATTACTTGCAACTTTTATTAAGATTTTATATCTTTGGACATTTTTAGTCATGAAAGCACAGTAGGCTATATTAACAGGACTCATCATTCAAGATTACTGCATCCTCAGGAGAGCCTGTTAGGAGGCTGGATGATCATTGTGCCAAATTACATGAATGTTAATCCATTATTACTGTAACTCATTCACTGGGATTTTAGTGATGTTTATGTTTGCTGTTGTGATGGTTCCTTTATATTTTTTCTTTAACTGAAAGTTCCAAGTTGGCCTAAAATATACTAGTCAGTCCATCTAGACCACTTTTTGCAAATATCCACTTCTTCATCACTTCAGATAAATGTTTAAAACCAAAGGTGTTAAGCAACATAACTTTGCCAGCTGGAGGGATACCAAAAAAGGAGAGATTTTTCTTTGTTTAGGAAAAAAGTTTAGAAAAATATGACCAAAAAGAAGAACAAAAAAACAAACAAAAACAAAACAGATGGTGTGTTTGGGCTTTAAGCCAGATTTATAATACTGTATGTTGTGATTTCTTGTGTAGTTTAACAAATTAATAAATAATACCAATGATTTTTTTTTTTTTTAAGAGTCTAAGAAGATACTCTCCCCGCACCATTTATAATCAGACATTTCAGTGAAACACCGGCTGTCCTAAAGAGATTTGCCCTTTCATTCCCACAATGCTTACAAACTGTCCAGCATTAGAATCATTTATGGTCCCATAAGTTATTGTGTTTCTAAATTAACTCAAATTAGCATTTTATATTCTCAGTATACAAAGTGACGCCATGAGATATGTCACTTTGGTAAAGCAAGTGTTGTGTTGTCTTCACTGCTGCTTAGGAGAAATTTGCATTATGATAGACTATAAATATTTTATTATAAGGGCTTGTGATTTTATCTGTATGGACTAAAGATTATTTCCTCAGTTCTTCAGTCCTGCTTTACAGATGGAACTGGTTCGTGGTCTGACTACTCTGCAGAACAGCATGTTTGTCTGATTTCATGGACCAGCAGTTGGGATTAATTTGTTATATACTGTACTTATTTTTTGTATGTATTTTTAAAATGCAAAAAACACCTATATTTACTTTAAGGTACTATAACCTAATTTATTTATGTGATGGCATCTAAAAGACTTTCCAAATTAAATGTATTTTTTGTTTTCATGTCAAGAGTTTTGCAAACAAGTGGAATTGAAATTCTTAAAGAACACAACCTATCTGGAACATGTATATATAACGTGTCTATATAATACTTGCATGATATCAAGCCTTTTAGTTAAGTTTTCTGAGTGTTTGTTGTGATGTTTTCTTGGCTGTTTAATGATGATTTTGCAGCTGATGAGCTATATTTACTGTCTCTTCCACGTTTCTTCCCCTGCTCCTAGCCAGCAATGGTTCAGTTCAAGGAGGGGCATTTGTTGCTTAGCAACTTGAGGTTCAAGCTGAGTTGTATGTAGGGCATTATATTCTTGTGTGAATGTGAAAGGCTTATTTCTTAAAGAATGAGTTGGTCAGAGGTAGAAAACTTAGATTTGTTATATAAAGTGTGTTTATTGCCTGAAGCAGAAAACTGTGTTGTTGGTTTTTTTCAATTGTAGTTTTATTTGAGAAGAATAAGATGAAAACAACGACCACATATGAGCTGTAGCTTCACTCTGAGAACACATCAGCCTCATAGAACATATGACTATTAAAAATAAAGAAAAAGAAAAATCTAAGATTAGATCTGCTATAATGAGTTGAATTGAAAACTCTTTGCTTAGTTTTGATTCCTTTTGAATATTTGCCATGGATACCTCTGTCTCTTCTTATAATTTCCATCCTAATTTTTATAGCCATCCATCTGATGATGCCATCACTTCCCGAATAAAGATTTTTGTCGCTCTTTGCCCTGCCAAGATACATTATCGTCGTCCTGAAAACAAGCCATTTTCCATTAATAAAATGAGGAAAGGCTTCAGAATTTATATGGCCACCTGCAGGCGTAATGATTGTAATCTTCCCCGGTTCTTCAGCTGACGGGTAAACCCTTATCCTTATTAACTGCAGAAATTTTCTCATCTCCTCCACTCAGTCATCTTTATGACTTATTGCTATTCCACCAAGCAAAGGTTCTGGTGCATTTTTTGTCCTGGTTATTCTTTACTGAAATATGAATTTGTTGCATTTCTGTATGAAAAAACAATTTTCTGAAGACAGTTTATTATAGTTTGCTTAGAAACTTTATTATTTTTCTGGTGACGTTTTTACTCATTTAGAGGGACAGTGCCAGGTATATTTATCAGCATCTGAGGTAGAGATGAAATAAAAACCTGTTCTGTGAGGTTATTGCAGCAGCATAACATCACACTGAAAGAAATAAAAAAAACTCCTACCTTTGATACAAGAACATTTATTTAGTGAACTGGAAAATCGTAATAAGTAAAATAAGTAATTAATTTTAACAAAAGTAGTGGACAAGTCTTTTAACTGTTGTTGACAGTTATATGCAAATTTTCATAAGGTGGCACATACACCAATGGTTTTACTGTAGGATTCAGGTTTCAAGGTTTTGTGAGTAAATTTCTGTTTAATTTACTATATGATGTGGTTGCAGGGCAACTGTCAATTTTCACTTTGCTGGTGTAGTTTCTGATGGGATTTCCTACACCACAGTCAGTTTAGGAGATTTGATACAATGTTTTCATTGGTTACCTGAATATTAATGGCATGACGTCAAATTTGTGCATGCTAGTTATATTTTGGGTCTGTTTCCCTAGTGAAACATTGTGGGTGCTTATTTTTGGTGGCCAAGATTTTAATCTCAAAGAAAAGGTGGAACATTGTGACGAACAAAAGAGAAACTGAAAGAAAAGACTTGAAAGAATGTGGGGTAAGAGTATGGACATCGTCATTTGCAGCATTAAGCAGTGGTATTGCATTGCATTTTTGTGAAATTGTGAAGTTCTGACCTTTACCCTGTTTTTTGTCATTTTTTTAAGTCAGAAAAAAACTTGAGGCTTATTTTCACATCTGAATATGTAGATATTGGCTTTGCAAAACACATTTAAAAATGAATTTTATGGTTTCATTCCAGATACTTTATCTTTAGGAAATAAAATCTCACCAAATACCAGTATATCAGTTTGAGTAAATTTTGTTTATTAATCCAAATTTTTTTCAGCTGACCATTGTAAATGATATTTTTGAACAGCAAGTCAATTTTTTTGTGAGCCCACCTGCCAATTTGAAAGCTTACATTGTTTCTGTGCAGCCACACTGACATGACGGTTTCAAACTAACGAACGTTTTCTATATTTACTTGTTGTGAGTCTTGAGACAGCTGCAGCTGCTTCCTAATGCTGCTGACAGATGCTTTTTTTTCAAGGAAGGGAAAAGAGGAAATGTGTGCCCAAAGAAATGTTTGGAGCCAGATTTATTATTTATTTATAACTTAAATTATGTTTCAATTTATTTGAAAACAAATTAAAAAAAAAAATAAAAATAAAAAAACGTGGCCCATTTCTTAAAAGAAACCTCGTCCTTTGAATAGAGCTGTGTTATTATACCTTCTGTATTCCAGCTGCCTCATTAATGCAGCAACACAACCTTCTCCCTGTCTGAACTCTTGGCCTAACTCTGCTTTATTTTCACCAAAACGTGGTGAAACATATGAAGAGTATGAACTCTTAGAGGTCTTAAAGTGATGAACTCAGCAGATTATTCTGCACCTTTCATTGACTTTTCCTTCTAATCGGTCTTTAACTCTGGTCGCAGTCTGACACATTTCTGATGAGTCATTTCAGTGACACCGCACAATGAATTATCCAAGAGTTTAACCATCAGTTGTCTCTTTGATTTTTATATTAAAAATGCTTGATTCACGCTTTAGTTTCAGTTAACTTTTCAAGTGACACGAATGTTTGTATCTTTTGTTTTCTATCATAAAAAAAATAAGTGTGGTAATTGGTGTTAAAATTTAACAGAAACATTTTTCCTTTTTATTTCAAAGACGCATTGCCATGGAGACCGTACTATTTTTAGATTATAACTCTTGATCCAAAGCAGGATATCCTACAGATCACTTTCTCAGCTTTAATGGTGAGTCCAAGCAGTAACTTCTGCTGAGTAGCTCTGCAAAGAGTCAGTGGAAAGCATTGGAGGGTGTTCATTTTCAAACATATGAGTCAACTATTATGTGCAAACTGTGTCTGTGTTGCAGCAGCTTCCAACCGCAGCCGTTAATGAGAGAACTTCTGATGTTTCCTTTTTTTTCCCCCTCAGAGACTCTGGAGCCGTCGCCACCGACTGCAACCCAGATCAGATATGGTGAGGAATGAAGTCTGCCACACACACACACACACACACACACACACACATACTTACACACAGAGCCTGCTTGGTCTGTGCATCTTACAAGAAAAAAAAACCTTGCATATTGTAATTTAGCCATTAATGTTTCTCTGATGTCCACAGTTGAGCCTGGATGATTTCTTACAAGCTTAGTAGTTTGTATCTAATAAAAATTGACTGTGTTTATAAAGCAAGTGAAAGCAGTTTTTTATCTTTGAATAAGAACTTTAGTTCAATAAATGTCCTCAAAATCAAACTGCCATGAGACAGTTGAAGGACAGGAATGTTCCAAAATGTTAATTACCTGCTTCAGTACACTACGGGTTGAAGGCAGAAATATTAATGTTTCAAGTCCGTTTTTACATTCATCAAGGTTTTCAAGGTGTTTTAAAACGTAGCAAAGATGTGAAAGTGAAAGAATAGGTAACCATGGATAAGTGAGTGGACTAATTTTTCATCACGTTCAACATGAGAATAATTCCCTGCACAGGCAAGAAATTAAACACACACAGAAGAAGTAAAAGGCATTCTTCTCTTTGTATTTCTTTGAAAATCTGAAAGCTACCTTAATTGATAATACAAATGTAAAACAGAAAGTAGAGCTGAGTCAAGATTAAAAACATAAAGAAGCAGTGTTGTGGGCACAATATTGGTCTTGCCAGAAATATAGAAATTACCTCAGTAAAATTGGTGCCAGAATAATGCATTCTTGTTGCAGCAGCAGAACATGGATTCTGATCAAGCAGAAAATTCTAGAAACTGTTTAGACCCTCAACAGCCAACATCCCTCAGCACCGTTTTAGATGTGTTATGGTCACAACAGTATGTTCAGGTTGTTCAAGTTTCAGAAATAACCTTTTTAATGTTGATCTACTTCCTTTTTATGCAAAACCTCACAACTAATTTAACATAATTTGTTGTATTTCTGAAGATTTAATTTTAGGCCCTTTTTCCTTTCTGGTTCCAAATCCCATTTAGTTAACTTTTTAGAACATTTAGAACATCCTTTGAACAAACCGGACTAACTAGGGGGAACCTCCTGATTGTATTCGGTTGCTACATGAGTCACACAACCACATTTCCATACAGCAGATTATATTGGCCTGCTGGTATTAAAGTAAGCCAATATAATCCACTTATTGAGACTTAAAGATGGCTGATTTCTTCTGGTTTTTCTTCCTCTTGTTGGTTTTTAGTTTTATTCCACAACGCCGTCCCCTTCATCGGGTTTGGTTTCCTGGATAACGCCATCATGATTGCAGCAGTAAGTAAAGTTTTAAGAATTATTCTTTCACCATTAGTTGCTTGTAAGTCGAAGAAACTAACCTTGCATGGAAGTGTTATGTTTAGGTGGGAACAGTAACTCAGGAGGAATATTCAACCTCATTCTGTTGTGTTCTTTAGGGGACGCAGATTGAACTCTCCATCGGAGTCACTCTGGGGATCTCCACCATGGCTGGTAAGAACAGATCAAACAGCCTGCAGTAAAGTCCCATTATTATTTAAATTGACTCCTTATCTTACTGGTTGGCTCCTGGTGTCTTTAAGTAGTTGACACAGCAGATAATTATAAGTCATTTATCTAGCAAAATTCCAAACAGTCTCCCATCTTTTTATACCCAAGATAATATTTTTTTTTCATTAATGCTTTGCTATTTAAAGCCAAGTGTTGGGAAAAGGTATTTGGGAGGCTAATGTTAAAACAAACAATGTTCTCATCTAGGGCAGGTGATATTGCCAAAAAAATATCACAATATAGTAAAAAAAAAATGTCAGTGTAAATTCAGAAATTGTGAATTATTGTTTGTTTTTTTTTGTTGAATACTTTATATTAGTGAGTTTTGCAAATGAATAGAAGCAGCTAAATGTCTACTTATCTTATTTCATACACTTAACAAGTAAAATAAGATTATTTTTTAACTGAAAGTGAAATATAAAGTTCAGTAATTGCACATCTCTAACACAAATGATTTTATGCAGACTAGATCAATATGTAGTGTATTGGAGCTTTACTCCAATAGGATATGACTCTTGTCTTGGATTTATATAAAACTAATTTAAATTAACACAAAAGATGAGACTTGCTGGAAATGAACTGATGAAGCAGTTTTTGGTACAAAGTACCCTTTTAATGTGATTAAATATATACACCTCTCACAGATGGAAGCTGCAGTTCTCTCCAAACTTATTGACACTGTGTTTCCAACATCATAATGTTCTGAGCTACTAAAAAATTCTCATGCATTTCTTTTGTATTTTTTGTAGAAAATATTTAATAAACTAACAGGTTTGTCGCCTAGGTGGTCATTCTTGATAGGGGAGGAAGCAAGCATCAATCTGTAGACTTTACAAAATAAGAGCCTTACTTATTTTGGATTCAACCTGTTTAACCTGATGCCCTCAGGGAGGCGCTACAGATGCATCAAAACAAAACCAAACTCAAAAATTGCTTTCTCCTTAAAAGCAATTAACACCCTGACCTCTCACATGCACTAATTATATGGTGGTTGTATGTGTATGTGAGTATGCAAATGTAACTGATTTAATATTGTAAATATCAGCACATTAATGTTTATATTGTATATATTTCCTACAATGTTTGCACTATTTTGGAGCTGGCTTTAATCTTACTGTATATGTGTGCAGTGGCGAACAATAAATTCTAATTCTAAAAAACTAGAAAATGCAAAAATAACTGAAAGAAGAGCTGTGTGTCTCCTCCTTTTAAACCAGACTGTTAAAAAGTTGCCTTCTAGTACGCTGTTATTTGTCCTGCAGGATTTTATTACTTCTCAGAATTAGTTTAATCTCTTTCTTACACAATCTAGGCAGTCTCCTTGCCAGATACTGAGCTTCCTGGATGAGGTGAATATAATATCAGATATAAAAAAAAAGTCAGCCCTAAAAACCCCGCAGTCACTGCTTTAATCTAAGATGGAGTTTTTGCAGTAAATTTCATGGCCACAACCAGAGCCTCCATTTTCCATCCCAGCTGGCACAGAGAATCTTCGTTGCCAATACAGCTCAGGTGATGTCACCAGTAATCTAAATTTGCCCTGAACTGTTATTTCCCCTGATCTTGTTCCATTTTATTGCCACCTAGCTGACTGTCGTCATGGTGCCATTTCTGGGTCTCAGTTTGGGTCTTTATTATGCTGTGAAAACCATAAAGGCACTGGAGCTAGCCTTCTCCCTCTCTCCACTGCTAGACTACCCCGTTTCCATGGTTACTTAGCTCCTAATACCTCTGCAAAGTGCAAATCAGAGCCTGAAGACGGGCTTCAGATCAAATGCTCGTCTACGTTGCCTCCATCCATGCAGAACCTGCTTTTATATTTGTTTTGTCATCTCCCAGCCGGTCGAGCGATCAGCTTTCTTATTTAATCTGGAAAGAGACGGTTCCAGGTGTATGTCAGCGACCGTTTCTCCACTGTGGCCTTAACGCCGGTGAAACGAGGCGAGACAGGATTGCCGTCTCACCTCATCACCATCAGGAAGTTTTCTCTTTGAAGGGAATTCACATTGAAGTCGTCCATCTGGACATTTAAATCCTTCAGGGATGCCACTGCCTTTAACTTGGAATCATTGTGGACTTCAATGCCTCCAGAAATGTATTGAAGACAAACCAAATATACTTCTCACCCTGGCAGTTTTGATAAGCAAATGTAAACTCAGCCATATTCTCATCCACATTGTGAAAATGCAACATGTTTGTTATTCATAGCTGCTGTGTTTTGTTGATGTACATTGAGGAGAAATGTTTGAAAGCTGACAGTTAAACCTCAGAAACACAGGAGGAAGCAAAGTGACTTTCCAAAAGTGCTACTTAATCTATAAAACTCACCTTTCTCACCCTAAATCACTTTAAGCTTTCATTTTACTACCGTGATTTAGATTGTTTTTTCTATTCGTTTAGATATTCCAAGCTGTTTATGGCCAGTATAGCACAAAAAATGCAGGATATATTCAGTTTATCCTGTAAAGCGGTTCTCTGAACATGGATAAAGACTCCGGATTAGGCTAATTTCCCCAGTAAGATTTTAAGATTTTAATCAGCTGTTCACCGTGTCTGTGTGGCTGTTGATCCAGGTGAGGGCTTCAGGTGCAGCAGGGGAGGTGAGACTTATTTCCTCCAGCTTATCTCAGGAGCTGCTTTGGAGTTTTCAGGCTTAGAGTGACTGCAATCTGTTAGCCTGCTGTTAGATAATGGGGAAAAATAATGTATCAGCTAAGCAGAGTTTCTCTTAATTTAACCGCTAACAGATCCAAAATGATCTTGGACACAACCTATGTACCAGAAAGCTGATTACTATCAGGATTTCTGACTTTATTAAACTTCTGCTCCTTTTTGCATCAGAAAAGTCGGAGTTATTTGAGAGGTTGACACTTGATGTTGATTCCCTCCTGTACCAAATCTGAAATATTCCTCACTTCTAATGTTTTTTTTAATAAAGTGATCTAAACAGTGTCATTAATTATTCAGTAGGTTAGTGCAGAAATATTGCATAATCCCACATGAAGTTGAATTTTTTATTTATTTTTTTTCCTGAGTTGTTTCTTGATCTCCCTTAGAAATCAGCAGCAATCAAAGCGTTTCTCTTTCTTTGTGCAGCCGCTGCTCTGGGGAACCTGGTTTCAGATCTGGCAGGTCTTGGGTAAGCAGCATTCCAGCATCCTCCAAACACTCTTGTTACTTTAGAAACAGATGTCACATTTCATGAAGTTTAGTGCAGGTTGCAGCAGTGAAAGTTTATAGCGGCTCTAAATTATTGAGCTGTGTTATGTTTCTCCTTTTGTGGCGTGCTAATAGCTTTTTTTAGATTAAAAAGTCGAGTAGTTCTTCCAAACTAAATATGATTCTAGGTTTTCATTCATGGATAATTGCTCATTAGAGTTGTTTGTCTTGTTCTTACATTCCTAAGAGCAATTATTTCCTTCAAATTACAATCTTATTCACAAAACTTGTTTTTCCATTAGGCTTAATACTTAGAGGCTCAGTTGTCTTACTCTCTAGACAGGAGCCGTAAACTCAAAAGTAATATGTTAATTTCCTCCTTCAATATTTTGTGTAACTTATAAATAATTCCACGTTCGTTTTATGTTTGTTTTTTTTCTGGGCTGTCAGAAATGTGATTTTGTTGGAAATGATTATTACCTGTTATAATTGATATGTATCAGTCGGTCAATGAATCAAATTTTATTTGTACAGCATCTTTCAGCCACAAGGCATTTCAAAGTGTTTGACCTCATAAAAGCACATGTAACATGTATGTTTGCAGTCTGGCAGGTTATGTGGAGGCTCTGGCTTCCAGACTGGGGATGCAGGTTCCTGATCTGACACCCAAGCAGGCGGATATGTGGCAGACCAGGCTCAGCTCTCACATGGTGAGATGACTCAAAATCTTCACATTCTCATTGGTTTGCCGTCTCTCAGCAGAAAGGATCTGGGTAAATGTCTTAAGTCAAACCAGATGTACACAGTTTGCATAAAACTCTCAGTAACTGGAAAGCTCATTTTTTATATTCTTGGAAGGAATAAAATGTAAAAAAGATAAGTTTATGTCCAATATTTATTACACTTAAAGGCTTTTCTGGACTGTAGATTATGATAGTAATAATTTTCATACTCAAGTTGAATTAGTTTTGAAATTTTTTTCTGTCTGATGGTGCTAGACCGCTCACTGAAATAGAAAAAGGAAAAAACAAAGATATGCGGTTAAATCACCTGTCAGTGTAAGATCGTATCCTTGGAATATAAGACGTATCGGAGGATTAGCTAAAACAAGATGCTGAAAGAGAGGAAAAGGGAAACCTTTACCTAAAAAGCCTCCAGAGGCAGAAGAACGACACAACCAACACTCAGCAAAATCAACTGGCTGGATTTTTGTGGGAACAAATAAAAAAATAAAAAGCAGCATAGCATCCTATTTAGTGCACCCAAATAAGAACAGCAACCTCCAACTGATGCACCACCACTACCATGCTATGAATAATACATTTCACCCGAGTCACCCTGCTGTATAACTATATTATAACAGTAGTATTGTAATCGTGAAACATGTTTAAAATATCAACTCTCACCCGGCATATGAAAGACTTTGGTTTCGTCATTATGTCTAAAATGAACTCCTTCTCTGCTCCCTGCAGGGGAAAGCCATCGGCATCACCATCGGCTGTATTTTGGGAATGTTCCCGCTGCTTTTCCTGAGCGATGACGATGAGGAGGAGGAGAAGAAGAACGGGGCAGAAGCACAGTGATGCAGCATCACACTCCTAATAATCCACCACATCTCTAACTGGATTCTGCTTCATGTCCACATTACAAAGGAGTATTTAACAATAGATTCCCTGTCAGGCGACTCAGGTGGCTTTCACAATCTGGCTCCTATTGAATACAAACACAGCAGTATTATGGAATAATTCTTTTTGATTCTTGCCATTTATTGATTTAGTTTGGATCGCATTTATTTATGCTCAGGAAAAATCGGTCTGCATCATGAGATCCTGCTCCTCATTGATTTTTCTATCAGCTCCTTCAAGATGGATTGTTGGCATTCAAAGAAACACTAAAGCAATTTTTAGTTCCCTCACTCCCCAGAGTCTGTTACCTTAAAACATCTTATTTTAACGCAACATGTTTATCATGAAAATGATTCAATCCTAGTTGTTTGATCACAGTGTACCTTCTTTAACGATTCTGAAAATTCCTGTCTTCATTTGATTGTTTTCATTTTAAAATGAATCAGATAAAAGCTAATGATGTCATGATGACCGTTAGGAGACTAGATTGCAGTTTTTATTTTCATCACATCAGTTACAGAACTTGATTCAGCTGATTTCTGTAAAGGAGAACCATAACATCCTTTTCAATTTATTTAAAAAAAAAGGAACTAGGTGGAACTAAATAGATTTTCTAGTTCGGTTTTTGATAACTGGTTTAGTTGCTGAACAACTCTAGAGGTTGTCTGGTGTGGTTAGCCTTTTTTCTGCATAGCCCTGACTTGCACAAAGTTGCTCAACTTTCTGCAAGAACTTGACATTCTTGACAAAAGCAACCAGAAAAGTCAATGAATGAGAAGCTTGTTAACACTAATCCATCTGGTGCCTTCACTTTAAGTTATGGTGTATATTAGAGATTGAGTAAAATATAGGCACAATTTAATACAAACTATATATATATGATTTAAGTACTTTTAGTTAAACCAGTAAAGCTGCAACTATTTCTATTTCAGATATGATTATATTAAAGTTGTATTTGTTTTTCTTATTGGTATTTTGATTTTGGTGCATGAGTATAAGGAAATAATAGATATATAGTCGTGTTACAATGTTGTGCAGGAAGGTTTACCTTTTTGTTATTCCACTTTCTATTGACTGACTCTAAGAACAAGCTGATTTTAGCTGATTCATTATTCGAGCTCACTAGCCTGCAGTCAGCTGCTTACCAGTTATGCTACTTGGAGTTTTACAACGGTCTTATTACATCAGATGTAGGACTGATTTAGTTTTGGGTTGAGACCTTTTTTGTTGTTTTCATGACTGGACATTCTTCCAAGCAGATTTCAGGGTTTCTTCAGTCAGGTAACTAGTGAGAAGCAACAAGTGGAGGAGGGGCAGTGTTTTGTAACTTTACTTTTGCGTCATACAAACGGGGAAAAACTGGTCATTCTTTCTATGCGTTTGGCATCTCTTTATCATGACTTTAGGATTTAGAGATAGATTTGAAAATGTAACTTTTTTTAAAAAAAACAATTCATAAATAATCATAACAATAACCAGCGCATGTCTGCTGAATGTATGCATCCCCAATAATAAGGAGAGCGCAGGCGATTTATTTCTCTTGTCCAGTTCCCAGTATGACATTGATGTTACGCAGTGAGATGATCTGATTTTATACTTATAAGAAATAAAAGAATCCAAGCAGGGAATATTCTCTTGCTTTTCTTGATTAAGCCTTTCTCTTTAAGTTTAACTTTTTTGTAAAAATTATTATTAATCAAGTGTTTGTCGCTCGAAAAGCACAAAAGCCTTCTGTGAAAGCCGCCTGAGTAGAAGCACTCACCTGGAACTGAGTCTTCCTTTTTCCAATTATTCCCCACAAAGGGAGGATCCGCAGCTAGATGTCGCATGGACTGAAACCGGTCAGTTCTCATTGTCAGTAGGTGCCGACTGAAAGCAACAGATTAACCCATTTTCATATTTATCATTTTATTTGTCAGCTCAACTATTATGACCTTTTTTCCACTCCAAATAACTAAATATAACGGCACATTTACATAATTTATTTTTGCCATGAATAGACACTTTATACTTTTGGAAAACTTCATCTCAAACACTATTTATTTGTAAAGATGATAATCAATAGTCACTGCAGATGAATATGAAAAGTCTTGTGCAACTCGAACCTTTGACAAAATAAAAAAGATGAAACAGATATAATGTCTGCTACCTCGAGGAGTAATGTTGTCGTTTCTGCATGAAGAGCTGATGTAGCTGCGTGTTCCTATTTATGTCAGGTATGTTTTACTTCTCAGTTTGATAAGAAAGGATCCTTGGAGGTTTTCTATGGCTTCATATTAGGAAACATTGAGTGGTAGGACACACTAATTAGAAACTGATTTTTTTTTTTCTTCTTGTTTTTAAGGTTGTTCTGTATCAGCTTGTTTTCTTTTGTGTTCGGCTCCTTTCTCTCCTACATGCGCTCAACTTGAGTCCCACCATCTATGTATTTTAGTTCTTTGGAAGTGATTACTGAGGAAGCTCCAGATGGTTGAGATTTTTATTTCCGAAAACATTTATGCAATGAAAAAAAAAAAAAAACAAGAAAACGGCGCAGACATTTTTGCATCACCCCCTTTTTGTTTCTGTCTGTTTTCTTGATGTCTTGTACAACAACACATCAGCAGAACTTCAAGGTGCTAATAGTCAAAACTGCAAAAATGTTTTTCGTTCTTTGTTTTTTTTGTTCAGGCTTTTTATATGTTTAAGATGTTAGGAATGATGCCTGGATTTCAAACTACATATGCAGGTGTATTTCAGTTAATTAGAATATCATTGAATTTATTTCAGTAATTCCATCGGTTCTTGTTTTTTTTTTTTTTCTATGATTTTATGTTACAGTTAATGAAACCCCAAAGTTAATTAAGTTTCAACATTGCATAAGGACAATATGATTAAGGATAAGTAAGGATTTTTAGTGCAGTAATCCCAGCCTTTTGAAAAGCATACCTATATGCTGAATTGTATATCTTAATGCTTGGTCAAAGACCATTTTGCATAAATTACTGCAATAATATAACTTGTTGGATTAAAGGAAATAATTGAGGCACTACTGAGGTGTTAAGGAAGCCAAGGTTTCTTTAATGGTAGCTTTTTGATGTGATTTTTGTTGATAGATTTGGTGTCTGTTTTTCCTTCCATCAAATTTCACATTGAGATATTTTGAATAGCCAGCTTCTTTAGCAATGACCTCCTGTGACCTATCCTACTTGTGGAAAAAAAAAAATATTGAATACTCGATTGGACAGGTGTCAACTGAATCTTCCCTGTGATTGTGTCAAGAATGTAACATTTCTGTTTTAAAAACTCATTTTTTTTAAAAGAACAGAATTAATTTAATTTGTCTGAGAAACAAATTTGGAGGTTTCATCAGGTGAGAGCCAAACTAATCATAGCTTTAATAGCTCATAAACCTTTTTGATGTTCTGATTTATTGAAATGCTCCTGAAAGAAAAATCACATGTAGGAGACGTAAGTGGAGAAAATTCTTAAACTAATGTAGTTGATTGTGAAATAGTTGGTGTGAACTCTTTAATTTATGCAGATGTTTTTTTTCCTCCTTTTTTCTGGTGATGCAGGCATGCAACAATAGCTCCAGCTTAAGTTATTGTTACAGATTTACAATTATTGATTCTGTTCTGACCTGCAGAGAATCTGAATTGATTAAAACTTTGGATTGTAATTAGAAAATCAATGATATGAGCCTTAGAATTCAGAGCATATCTAGTTCAGAGACATTTAAAAATCTGCTTGACTGTTTTGTGAGGAGCTGAGAGGCATCTTAAATTGATCCACTGGATCACACATTCCTCAATGTTTATCTGTTCTGTTAGGCTCAGCTAGCATTTAATATATATTTTATCTTATCCAACAAAAGTAGAATCTTACCAAAACTCAAATATGTTATTTGTAATTTTATCTACTTTATTGAACATATTATGTATTATTAGTGATGAGCACAAATTATGTGACTAAAGTAAAGACTTCAGAGCTAAAAGAAACTGATCTGAACTTACTGAGCATGAATACAGCTGCAGGAGTTAAAACAAGGAGGGAGATTACTTTGTTTCCTGCCTGCCTTGTTCAGAGGAAGATTTGTTGTGAAGGATTATGAACAATTTATCGTTTGTTCAGGTTATGCATTAAATTGTTAGAAGTTGGGACTAAAATAAGTGGTGTGCCGTTTGTCAGCATGAGAAACCTGATTTGTTTCCCTTTGCATCAAGTTTACATTATGCTTGTTTTTTTTAAGAATTAATATAAATACAATATTTGCTTGATTTAAATAAAAAAAAAATGTTTGAATTATGAGTATTCTTTTGTCAAAGGAATGCAATGTGCTGCCATCTTGTGGTCAGTCTGAAACCGCAGCTGCCACACAAAACATGTTTGTACTATAGAAGCTGTTCTGTCTACACATACAGTGATTTTGCAGAATTGTGTGCAACAAAGTAATATAATAAATGAGAATGTTTACTGCGGGTGTCGCTGTACCTAAATCTCTTCTCTATTTATGCTGCTTGCCCTGTAGCAAGGCAGAGACAGCTGCTGAGAAAACCTTCCATTCAGAGGTAAAAGTGTTAGTCAAAGTAAATATAAAACATAAGCTACTTTTACTCATTTAGAAATGTTTTAAGTTTTCTATTTGCTTGGCAAAATAAATACATTTTAACTTGTCAGATCTCTGATTTATATTCTATAGGTTTTGTAACTGGTTGTTTCAAGATACTCTGCATAAAACATTTTTTCCATGCATCTAGAAATGAATGAACGGGTAAAGTAGAGAATTCTTAAGACAACTTCTCCAACAAAAACTAGTTCAGTGTTTTGCACCTTACAGTTAAAGCAAATCAACCATTGCTTTATTATAAAAGTGTTGTATAATTACATTTTGGGTTATTCACTAGCTGTAATACAAAATGACAAAATATTATCTGAAATATATTTGGATTTTTTTATCCTAATATAGGAGCACAAGACTACATGACTAACTTCCTGCATTAAAATAGTGAAACAAGTGTTTTGATTTGCTAAATTAAAGCCCTCTTAAATCCGTCTGTTGAATTAACTCAATTGAAAGAAGAAACACGCATCGCAACACATCCAGCTTTACTCTTTATTGTGTTAAAAGCCCGTGGGGAATTTATTCATCTGAGTTAACGGTAGAAAAATTTACATTCGTGTGACAACTGAATGAAATAACGAATAAGAAAATCAAAAATTCAAAAACTTACCAAAGGGAGAAAAAAACAAGCATGTCTCATACAACAATATTAGCATTAGTAAGGATATGATTGTGGACAAATTTGAAGTAATTTTAGTTTAACTTGTTTGGAGGTGGGTTTGACAATTAGGCCAGGAGCTTAGTATTTATATCCCAGAACATTTTTTAAACTTGTGTTAGCAAGTCTTAACAGAATGTTTACTTTCCTGATTTAATGTTAACATCTGTTTTGTTAGGAATCTGTTCTTGATGTAATTTTTTTTACTATCACTGAGTGCCTAAATCTTAAAATAATAGTAGAAAAATTAAAAGTAAACCAAAAAGAATAAAACATCAAACAAGAATTTTAAGATTTTTATCAAATATTTTCTTAGCATCTATCTCCCCAGACATAACCCACCTCCAAACACCAAAACCAATGTTCCCAAGACAGCATGCTTGTCTTACTGTTCAAAGGTTTTAGTCAGATCAACTGAAATGTTCTAATTTTGCACAATTAGACCATTTATACAAATGTACAAATGCCAGAATGTACAGCAGGTAGCCCACAATAAGCCTATAATAAATCTAAAATAAAAGTTTTACTGGGGTAAAACGATAACTTTACAGTCTCTCTCTCAAAAAAAAAAAAAAAAAACTAAGTTGAAAATAAATAGCTGGAACAATTTATCAATGGAGTGATTGCAAAGCTTCACAGAAGAGCACCTGAAGTAAGAAAAGCATACAAAACCTAAATTCAAATTATTCAGCATACACTGTAAAAAAAATTTGGCAGCTTGTGTCAAAGGCCAAACGTTAAAGGGTTTTAAGGAGACACTGACAGAAATGGCATGTAAACACGCCGAGCACAGGACAAAAATGGTTGTAGATCCAACTCGAGTTAAACTTTAAATAACATTTCTGACTGAACACACTGAGGAACGGTGCAGATAGTCAAGCAGAATATTTTAACGCTACAACTGGATGCAACTCCTGATACTCGTCTGATCCTCAGTGGGAAAAATCACCCACTGTTGGTTGGTCACAGGCTCAAACATTCAGCTTCATACGCTTGGCATCGCATCAGCTACACAACTGTTTTTGTAAACCTGGAGTGGGAAACAGGACAGGCTTGAGTTCTCACACACAGCAGTCACAAGAAATATGACACATTTATGATTCATGTGGAACATTACAGGGTGGAAGAGTAAATGGGGTCCTTTAGAGTGATGCTAACTAAGGGGAGGAGTTCTAGTGGAAAATTATGAACCAAAAAAGGCATGAATTATCATGCATATCAACTATCTTTATAGGTTTCATATACTGTAAAAGTACAGCTGGTAATTTAGAAATGTAAATGCATATACAGTATATATATATTTAAAAGAATAAATAATTTAAATGTGTGAAGATGCCACATTATAGCAGTTTCTGGCAGCACAAGGAGGTTTTTGTGTCGTTTACTCACTAATGCCAACATATAAACCTTTTTGATTATTAAACATCTAGCAGATAAACTTACAGTTAGAAGGAAAAATTGGGTGAGACTGAATCTTTACTTTCAAAATGAGATTTTAAGATGGGACAATTTAACCGTTGTGTCTCAACGGTGGAAATTTAAGAGTTGAGGGAATTAGAAACCCAATAAATCCACTGCAGTTCCCCCCAAAGCATGGCACCTCTGGTAAAAACACACAAGGAAGGTATGGGGATGCTATTTTGTCTGTGTCTTTTGTAACAGTGACCCATGCAACCGACCCGTATTCCATCATTCAATGGTACGGTACAGTTAGGGCAGAGGTACTTTTGATAACACAGTCCATTGACTAGGACAAGCATGAGGCATACAAATGTGTCACATTTGTCATCTCACTAGTATGACGCCACATTAAGCACCTGCCTGGTGACAAAGGAAACGGTCTCCTGAATACGATGGGCCATAAAATATGCCTCTTCTCCATGGGCGTGGCTTCAACTGGTTCTTTCCCAGTCCTACTCAGCCAAATTCATCTCCATTTGCAGATCCTGCACAATTCTTTCCTGTCTTCTGGAACCTCCTCAGGGTGGTAAAAGCCAGATAATATGTACACGCCATTTGATTTGTAGCAGACTGCACTTGGTCGCCTGACATTCAAGCAACTTGATTGATTTATGTCAATGGACAATTGAAGGCCGGACTTTGTAAACTTGTGGAATAATATCTCAACCACCATTTTCAATTAACATGGGAAACCATAATTCCATGGTCAAACATTGAGGTCCAAACTTTTTTATCAATTGTGGTGGAAGAGAGCATGTAGAGTCAAGTGGACCAAACAACCCGCAATCAATAAATATATCAAGAGATTTTAGTGAAACTGGCCGTCCAAGGGTACATGTGTGGACTACGCTTTTATCTCATGGCCCACCCATGTTCATGTCCACATAATGAATAACACGCCGCCAATGGAGACCCACAACTTGCCAGGTCCAAACCAGACATTAACTGGGTAGAGTGAGACCAGACAATGGAGAACTATTGCATACTGCAACACACAGACTCATGCCACGTCGCTCAGTCGACACCAGGCACTGGAGGACCAAACGTGACACTTTTTTTATACATTTCTCTAACTTTTCATTCTTACCCTCCTCACCGTGTATGTTGGCAAGTTAGATTTGTCACAGTTCTAGTTATTTTCAGCATTTTCTTTATTGCTCTGACAGTAGGTATGGGCAAAGTTAGGCAAGTATCTATTTTTATGAGACTTTCTTTCTGACTCTTAGTCAACATACATCTGCCTTACCTAAATGGCATTTCCTCTGGCTGGGGGAATGGACCTCTGTTATGTCCTGTTTATACCCAACAGAACCAGGAAGTCTTGGATTAATAATTAAAATTCCGTAACATTGATCAACATAAAAAAGTATAAATTAAAAAAAAACCCTCTATAATATCCAATTTCAAAAGAATTTTCGATAATTAGGACAGTGGTAATTTCGTAAATTACAATATCTGAATGCAAGTTTTTTTCCATCCACAAAATGACTGCAAATCAAAAAAAAAAGAATGTTTGATTTTCCAATCTACCATTTCTTTCTTTGAAAGGCTTCCAGCACATTTTCACCGAGTTTAAAACTGAACTAAAAACATTTTAATGCAATTTAAATTCTTGATGATTGTCCCCAGAAAATCTCTATTTCAAATCCTCACATATTTCTATGATTTGCATTAATACTCTGTTTACTGTAGCACGCTACTCAACTTTAAAGTCCGACTAAATAATGTTTTTTACTAAAATATTTTCCACTACTGCTTACACCAGTGCCAGCTAATATCAGCACAAAGGCTTCACCACAACAGACCAATACAATTTACTCCAATTACCAGAGAAAGGCAGTAACAGCCTCTAGTAGTGCTATGTATGCTAACACATACAGTAACGTTGGCACATATAGGTTTACAGTTTGCAGTAATTCATTGCTAACTGTTGCAGTTTTTTAATTTGTCTGAATTATTCAAAGTGCTTTACAGAAAACAAATATTTAAAACAAAAGTCAAACCTAGATTACAAAAAATAAATATTTAACAGTACCTAAAGATTTTTTTTTCTTAATTTTAAGTTTACAGGCATGGATGGGTTTGCACAGTAAAGCAGATTTAGCTTACCGAACTGCAATCAATGCTGGGATTTATTTCACTTTCAAATCTAAAAATGACTTAAACTGTAACATCATGCAGGGCAGTCTACTGTTTAACTGTAGCATTAAACCATTTGTAGTGAAGGATTACACTCTATGTGCTACCCTACATAAACAAAACAGAAAACCGGTTACACAAAACTGGGATCATTTCAGGTACATGGAAACTATTTTTGGGGTGTTTTGGCACATTAAGTTGAAACAAGGTGACTATGAGGATGTGAAATGAGCATAGAACAAAAAAAAAATGAATATTTACACACACATAATCTGTCATTTTTTTGAAATTGCTCAGTTGCTCTGAATCTTTCTATTTCATCTTCTTCTCTTTCCATTTCATTTAAGCCTTCTCCTCTACCAGAAAGACTTTATCCAACTCTCTCAAAATCCACAAGTAAATCATTTTCCTTCTTTTACATCTTGAAGTTGCCCTGAGGCAAAAATCTCAGATCAGTGACCATTGTAGTAATCCCCTGCAGGATATTTCACTGGTCAAATGCAACTAAGACTCCTAAAATGGTCCTTCTACACCGCCTGCTTGATTCTGACCAAACTTTCCCTAATTTAGAACCAGTATTGAGTTCTCAGTAT